AGCGGTTATAGCACACTTTTTCAATATATACGGGTTACATTGGAGGGCTATTGGATGTGACCGAGGAATCTGTTGCTACACGGATGGCTCTAAATTGGGCGACAAAGTGGGCTTGGTGTTCTATTATGAAGACCCAAAACAGAAATATACCACTGTTTACCTTTCCACAACACAATGCCTAACTTGGATCAGAATAAATATGGCGCCCACAGGACTGAAAATTTTAAACATAACAGCGTATTGGATTGTAAGAAAGCTCTAACCGAATGCTTTCCCAGAGGTAAGGTTTACATCATATGGGTACCACTCGAGAGTAGTGGGAAACGAAAGAGCGAATGTAATAGCTTTCAAGGGAAGGGAGCTCCAGATAGTCAAAATGACGACGAGCAACGAGCTCTGAAACTGAAATATGGGTGAGAGAATACCTATTAAAGCCTCTTGGAATAATGAAAGATGGATTGAACCCTAAAGATTCTATGGGGTGACCCAAACGAGAGCAGGACCTGGAGCGCTACGGACTCAGACGAATATAGAGCATGTGAAATTCTGGAGCACTTTCTTTGCCATTGTCAAGCTTTTGCAGAAATTAGATCAAAAATATCTTGGGATTGATTGGAAAATTTTTGGGTATTACCTCCAGGAAACTGAGTTTCAGAACATAGGGCGATAATACATTCATGAATACTATATAAGGTTTTTGTTTTAAAAACAAAAACTTTCCATGCAAAAGGAGCACATAACAGGTTCCACAATAGCCTAGGTATATTTGTTCTGATCTGATGTAGATTCATCTTCCTATCAACCTAACCTATATCCGAACAAAAATGGAATACATATAACTCTCATGTATGGACCGGTGCTTCAAAATCTATTCTGGAGCTATTCGACTGCATACAGGAGGTTGTTATCGATGATAATTGAACTAGATTAATTCAATAGAACAATGCAACGTGAGTTATGTTTTATAGTTCTATTTATATTAGAATGGACTATGTTCCTCTGATTTCCGTAGATCATAGAATAAATTGCAGAGAAAACATGTTAATTAACCTACAGGTTTCTTCCTTGACCTTTGCTAACAAACACTTCTGCCTCTATCCCCTCTTCCAGAATCAATTTTCCGAGTTCTAATATAAGTAGCTGTCATCTGCTGAGAGCTAACTAAGAAACTAATATCCAAACAAGTATTTGTATAGATAATTTAGCACGAAGGAAAGTTAAAACTTCTTTGAGAGAAATTGTTATTGGATACAACTCTAGTAGCAGATCCAAGAGTCGCAACTTTAAAGTATTCAATGTTACAATAAAGTTCTAAGGTAAGAAGATGTTTTAGTAGTAGTGGTTTAGCGTTCTCACAACTTCAATGAACCTATTTGACAACTAGACCTGTTCGATCGCAAGAAATATTGCAGGCCTTACATAAATAATAATAAATAACGGTTTAGCACCATTTCTGAACTATATTAACGAAATTAGGCCTTAGTCAAGCATTATAATTCAAAACCTCAAACACTATAATGCTTATATCAAATTTGACTAATTATTTAGGGTCGAGCATATGATATCTTTTATAAACCAAATATTTATATTCCGTTAAAGCAAAGTATTTTAAATTACTTTAAAATTTCTTTAGAAAGTTGGCTTTTTAACAAAAAAATTAAATTTACAAATTTTAAAGAAATCCCTTTCAAATATTATGGAAAACATAAATTATCTTTACTTGTAATTAAATTATTATAAACATATAGTTTTATTTCTTTTAAATGAAGAACTAAATTTGAATTTTAAATTCGCTTTAAAAAAATATATTTATAAATTTTAAAGCCTATAAATTAACAAGATCATTGGCAAAATGTCAATATCTATGAATAACAAATTAATAAAATACCCTTGATCGTTGGGGTCGCAATGTCGGCAAAATTTCAAAATCAAATATAAAACGAAAATCTAGTATAAATATAACAATTAGATCAGCAGTACCTTTGATCGATTTAATTTAATTTATGAGCAGCCACAAAAACTAGAAAGCACCTGTTAACACTTTAATACATATTTTATTTATACAAAATTTAAATTATTTTACAAAATATACACAATGAAAAAAAAAAAACTGCCATAAAACAATATTTGCATAAATTCCTAATTCATAATACAATTTTTTTATTGCTTTTTTTTAATTTGAAAATTTGCATTTTTTTGTAAGAGTATATTTCAAAAGTATTTGAAAATAGATATAAATTCGTGAAAAAAAACCTGCCATTTTTTAAAAAAAATTTTAAATAAAGCGGCTGTATAAATAAATTTTGTTTGAAATAAACTTTTTATTTTGTTCGCCTTAACAAAAAAAAAAAGATCGAACAAATACCTATGTTTGCCTAAGTTCACAAATATTAAACCAGAAATGTTTTAACATAAACATATTTGTTTAAAATAAATTGTTATGAATAATATACAAATATTTATAAGCAGACTAGATTATTTAATTTGTTATACAATTTTGAAAAAAATACATATTTATAACAATAAAAAAATGATATTAAACAATATCAAGTCCATAGACTTTGTTTAATAAGAAAAAAAAACATGAATAATTTATGGAAATTTACTTGTTTAACTTGCTAAAACAAACTGGTTTAAAAACCTATAATAAAAATGATATTGCCAATTAAATTAATAAGTCGAGCCCTCTTTAAATCGTATTCATTTTTTGTCAAATTTGTTATCAAACAATTAAACATTTAAATTTAACGCTAAACGACTTGTTAAAATTGTTAATTTTATTTATCCGCCACCTTTCAAGTTTTAGCTTTTTTTCATGTATTTATTGTTTACAATTATTGTTGCTGTAATCCCACTGTTCCGGCATAACAACTGATGTGGTGTTGCTAATTAAAACTGTTGTTAAAAAGCGCTTAATTTAAAAAACGTAATCATATTAATTGTAGAATTTATTTATACTAATTACAACTTTTAATAACAAACAAAAATTAATGAAATTTTTATGAGCAAACATTTACATATTGTAATACTTGACATAAAACCATTGATTATAATTAATTAGTTTAGCTATATACATATATTTTTAAAAACTTGAATAAAAGTACATAAATTTTAAACAAAAATCTAACTCAATCAAAAATCATATATTGTACGAGTTAAATTTCTTCGCAAACATATTAAAAGTTTTCATATAAACGTTCAAAAGCCATTTTAGCACTCGTAGTCCTATTTTCTTCACTTTCTTTTATCATATACCGGAAAGATATTTTGCAAACAATATCGATCCATGATTTCGCTTAGCCCCCATATAAATAGCTGTTCAAAATGAAGTTTAGAGTCATAATTTAGTTAGTTAGTTAGTTAGTTAGTTAGTTAGTTAGTTAGTTAGTTAGTTAGTTAGTTGTTAGTTAGTTTAGTTAGTAGTTAGTTAGTTAGTTAGTTAGTTCGTTAGTTAGTTTAGTTAGTTAGTTAGTTAGTTTTTAGTCGTTAGTTAGTTAGTTAGTTAGTTAGTTAGTTAGTTCGTTAGTTTTTCGTTAGTTAGTTTAGTTCGTTAGTTAGTTCGTTCGTTCGTTCGTTCTTCGTTCGTTAGTTAGTTCGTTTTCGTTCGTTTCGTTCGTTTCGTTCGTTCGTTCGTTAGTTTCGTTCTTAGTTCGTTTCGTTCGTTCGTTAGTCGTTCGTTAGTTCGTTCGTTAGTTCGTTCGTTCGTTCGTTCGTTCGTTTTCTTGTTCGTTCGTTTTCGTTTCGTTGTTCGTTCGTTCGTTCGTTCGTTCGTTCGTTTCGTTCGTTCGTTCGTTTGTTCGTTCGTTCGTTCGTTCGTTCGTTGTTCGTTCGTTTCGTTCGTTCGTTCGTTCGTTCGTTCGTTCGTTCGTTCGTTCGTTCGTTCGTTCGTTCTTTCGTTCGTTTCGTTCGTTCGTTCGTTCGTTCGTTCGTTCGTTCGTTCGTTCGTTCGTTAGTTCGTTCTTCGTTCGTTCGTTCGTTGTTCGTTCGTTCGTTCGTTCGTTCGTTCGTTAGTTCGTTCGTTCGTTCGTTCGTTCGTTCGTTTTTCGTTCGTTCGTTCGTTCGTTCGTTCGTTCGTTCGTTCGTTCGTTTCGTTCGTTCGTTCGTTCGTTCGTTTCGTTCGTTCGTTTCGTTCGTTCGTTTCGTTCGTTCGTTCGTTTTCGTTGTTCGTTCGTTCTTTCGTTAGTTCGTTCGTTCGTTCGTTCGTTCGTTTCGTTCGTTCGTTCGTTCGTCGTTCGTTTCGTTCGTTCGTTCGTTTCGTTTCGTTCGTTCGTTGTTCTTTTCGTTCGTTCGTTCGCCTGGCTTCTTTTCCGTGTCCCGCCCGGCGTTCCTGCCCTGGCGTGCCCTGCCCTTTCTGTCTTCCCGGGTCGTTCCTTTTACTTTTTCGTTATTCAAATGGTATTTTGATTTTCTGAATCATCGAAACTTGGATGATACATATAGGATCCTGATATCATTTATAAAAGGGGACTTTCTGGTAGTTTTTCGATTTCCAACTATTATTTCTTGTACTAACATACGTGCTGACTGTTTTTAACACACTATATAAGATTCGCCACAGGCGAATATAGAACTCTTACTTGTTTATAATTATTTTTATATTAACAGATACAATTATGTTCATTATTTTGATTATTTTGTCCAATTTATACCATGGTCATTAAGATTTGACTTTCCACTTTTTCAAATATATTAAAGTCGATAATTCTAATAATCTAGCAAGATTTTTTACTTTGATGACTTAAATCTGATAAAAAAAAATTGTAAGATACTAAAATAGTGAACCGATTTTATATTATTTTATACGTGTAATATCTTGCCACCACTTAAATTAATTAAAAATGCTAAGAAAAAAATCACAATTAGCATTTTAAAACTTTCTAATTAGCAACACTGTTACGTTTTCTTTAGTTTTATTTTGTTCTCTCCTCTTATTTTACAAACAAAACAAAAAAAGACACACATGCACTAACAATGTTGTTGTTCTTGTTGCTTTTACTTACTTGCATGGAATCGGCGCTGATTATTTCGCCACCAAAACGTTCTGCTAATTCTAATGATAATTTTGTTTTACCCGTACCCGTTGAACCGAGTATTACAATTAACGGAACTTTACGAAACATTATTAATGTTTATTTATATTGTATTTTTTAAACACTTTTTCAATAATTTGAATTGATTTAAAACAATTTATTTAATTTTTAATAAAAAGAAATCACACGCGTTTTCTAGAGAACAATGTGTTCGGTACGTACGCGAAGAGAACTAAAGAAGAAACTATGAAAGAGAATGTAAACAGAATCAGCTGTTTGTAGAGTGTGGCTGTGAGAGAATGAAAAAAATATTGTATTAAGGTGACCAGAAGGTTTTCAAATGTAATAATTTTAATAATGATGACATTTTAATTCTAATTGGAATTTTTAAGTAAAATTGATAGATTTAGATAGAATTTACTAACTTGACATAAAAAATATATCTTTTAGTAAGTCATTGTTAAAAATTTATGATATTTATAGTTAGTTTCTAGGTTTCAAAATTGATATCTCAGTATACTCAGTGGTCTTACTGTTATAAATTTATTATGGTCACCCAAACGTGTAATACTAAAATGTTATGAAGTACAGTGGGTTCGTTGACAGCAAATATCCTTGTAATTATAATGAAAATTTAAAAATCCATTTTAAATCAAATTAATTACACGTGTAGCATTGCTAAATGATATAAATTCAATAAAATTTTATTTAATTCAGGTTTCACTGTGACATTCAGCAGTTTAAATATATTGAATAAGACAATGAGTTTAAAAATACACGTGTAAAGAACAATTTACATTTTAACAATTAGATAACAATACCATTATTTTTATATATTACATTCAAGTATTGTAATTTAAATGAATTTTAAACTTTGACCTAAATCTTCAGGTGGTTGATTCAGCTATGGGCATGTATGCTAGATACGTAGTAAGTCGTGCGTTCTTTCTAGAAGATACATTAGTCTTATTTTACAAAATAAAACACCCCATTTAGGACATAAAGAAAAAAGCACCCTTTTTTGCAATAAATATAAAAGGGTCCTAGTTATAAGTTGTTGATATTTTAATAAAATTTAGTTTGATTTCCTTTTTTGCTAATCATGCATGTTTGAACATGTCTTTTTAGTTTATGTTTCTTAAAGGAAGTGATTTTCTATGTTCTTTTGTAATGATACACTATTGTTTTTTTTTTTTTTTTTTTTTCAAAACATTTGTTACTTAAAACTTACATATTTTGAATTCTGATGCGTCATCCTGTGGGAAAATTAAAATATTTTTTTTTTTTTTTGTATTTTGAAGTAAAACATTTGTAACTAAAATTGTTTTCCCAAAAATGTGGAAAAAGTAGGAATACCAATTATTTCAATTTTATGACTATGTCCAATGGTTAATTAATAAACCTTATTTTTTTTCCTATATGTCAAAATTTTGAAATAAAGTGGTTTTCATATACCATCTTTCTTCAGTAGTGCTTGAAAAATATTTGAAAATGAGTATTGATTTTTGGATGCTTTCAGCTGTTTTGGGAACCTAATAATCAATTCAGAAAAAAAATTCAACAATATAAAATTTAGTACTTTCTTAACCCACTTTTTACCAGATTTCTTTCTTTTTGGCAAATTAGTTTTATAAGAACCAAAATAACTATACCAAATTCTAGCTCATCGTTATATATTTTACCATATCCCCCATATAAGACCCCCTTCACAAAACTGCTGAAACCCTCATAACTGCTTTATAGAAACGAAGTTCGACAGAAACAAGTGAGAACCAAAATGTATCAAAATTATACTGAATGAAGGGTTGTGTTAAATGGGAATCTTATATAAAACTTACTTGTGACGATCTTTGAAGATATCCTAGTATATTTGACGTAGTTATGAGTAGTTTAAGTGAAATAATGGATTCATTTTCAACAGACCCGAAAAAATTGCGTCCAAGGTTTACATTGACAGCCAGCTGTATAAACGGAGACATCTTGCCTCAGAAAGTGATTCTAAATCGAACGATATACTTTAATGTTGATGTAGGACAAATATTATTGTCAGCACAAATATGGTAATATAGAGTATAATGTCGAAATTTTTTGATGATGGGTCATTAATAGATTATTTCCCCTTTCAGCAGTGATGCCATATATTTTTGAAAAAAAAAAAAAAAACATTTTATGTACTAAAATTATTTGAAATAGCTTAATGTAATTGAATTGGAACAGAACATTTCCTTAACATCGGTAGTAAGGGATTTTTGGGCGTTTTAGTCTTACTCTTGGAAATGTCATGATGAATCTATGTAGATTGTGATCACTACACTATGTAACTTGCCTCAATTGGGGACTCGAAATGCGAAGAATTTATCCTACCCAGACCCAGAGGATATCTTCAACCTCCTACCGATTATGCGTTAACTTGACCTAGTATTGTGAACCAATGGTGTGCACAAAATATCCACAATAAGGTCGATATGTATTGTGTCCTTAATATCTAATCTAAGGGATTAAAGGTCACCGGTCAATTATTACAATTTTAAAGGAATACCTCCCATAGGGTTCTATAAATCGACTTTCGAATAATCGAACAATCGACTTTTTGTCCAAAAAAGTCGAAGTCGACTATATTGTTCCAAAAAAGTCGATAACTCGACTATCGTCTGTGAAAAAAGTCGACTTTGTAAATAAAAGTCGAAAAAAGTCGACAAGTCGAAGAAAGTCGAAAAAAGTCGACAAGTCGAAAAGTCGTAAAAAGTCGTAAAAGTCGAAAAGTCGAATTCTTTAGAACTCGGTTTATAATTGATTCAAACTGACATTTAAGGCCCTATTACGAAAATCAATTTGATGTTCATATTAATAGACGAATATGTATAAAACTTGTAATTACTTTAAATTTAACTGGAATTAAAATCTAAGATTTCTTACCTACTGATCTTCCAAAAACATCGACATAGTTTCTCCTCGTTTTAGACATTCTTTTGAAAATTGAATAACCCTTTGCCAACCATTTCAAAAAGGTTTCTCCGCTGTAAGTAGTTATTGTTTAACTTTCTCAGACATTTATTACAATTCTATTGAAATTATTTCATTCAACAGATGTGTAATAAATAATTTGATTATATATGTATTTACTTCCGTTTTTTATGATTTGTTGATTAAACATTGATGTTTATTATCATGTTAATGAGACATACGCAAATAAAAATCCTAAATTGGAAATTTATTACAGGAAACATCCTGAGAATAAAACATGTAATGATTTTTAAGTGGTTGGCTGTGAAAACCGTTCTTAATTGCGCATTAACGAAGAAAACAGAGTTGCCATGTTATAAAACTATAACGCTTTATAATTAATGTCAATTGTGCCGAATTGATTTTAGTTTAAGTAAAGTTAAGGTAAGTTAAAGGTAAAGCCCCCTTCACACGAGCACACAAGTAATATGAAAATATGGATGGAAAATTTGACAGTCGTATGGCTCTCTTCATTTTTTGAAATGATTAAAAAAACAAGCAAGTCGCATTAGATCAGAGTTGTATTTTTATGTAAACACGTACCAAATAAGTGAAACAGCTGTTTCCACCTTACTTTGTTTTTGTTTTATACCAATCGTGTAAACACAAATGATATAAATCATACTTTTATTCTCTTTTATGTCATACGGATGGAATTTCATTTTATTTTTTCATTAGACTTGTCGTACGTAAAGTGTGATCGTCTGAAGGGCACTAGTTTTTAGGGTTCTATAAATCGATTTTCGAATAATCGAACAATCGACTTTTTGTCGAAAAGTCGAAGTCGACTATTTTGTTCCAAAAAGTCGATAACTCGACTATCGTCTATAAAAAAGTCGAAAAGTCGACTTTGTAAATAAAAGTCGAAAAGTCAAAAAATCGGAAAGTCGAAAAAAAGTCGAAAAAAGTTGAAAAGTCGAAAAAAAGTCGATAAGTCGAAGAAAGTCGAAAAAAGTCGAAAAGTCGGAAAAAGTCGAAAAGTCGGAAAAAGTCGAAAAGTCGGAAAAAGTCGAAAAGTCGAAAAGAGTCGAAAATTTTAAAAAAGTGGAAAAGAGGTCAAAAACTCTAAAATAGTCGGAAAAACTCGAAAAAAGTAAAAAAATAGTCGAAAATAGTCGAAAAAAAGTCGAAATAAATCGAAAATAGTCAAAAAGTCGTAAAAAATCAAAAAGTCGAAAAGTCGGAAAAAGTCGAAAAGTCGGAAAAAGTCGAAAAAAGTCGAAAAAAGTCGAAAAGTCGAAAAAAGTCGGAAAAAGTCGGAAAAAGTCGGAAAAAGTCGAAAAAAGTCGAAAAGTCGGAAAAAGTCGAAAAGTCGACCATTTATAAAATACTAAAAGTAGAAAAGTCTAAAAGTTGACTTTTAAATAAATGAAAAAGGTCGAAAAATCGACTTTTCATAAAATGGAAAAAGTCGAAAGGTCGAAAAGTCGACTTTTAACTAAATGCAAAAAGTCGAAAAGTCGACTTTTCGTTTCAACTATAGAACCCTACTAGTTTTGCTTTTAGATAAGTTTTGCTTAATATGGCAACTCTGTAGTCACGTTTAAATGTAAATATTTTCTCTTTACAGAAACACCCCTTTTAATAGCATACCCAGAAAAACGACTTGATATTAAGATCAGCTAAGAAATTGTAACATATTCGACAACAATAGGATCGCGAATGGTATTGTAAAGAAAAATCTAGATTTTCAAAAGAAAATCACAAACTATTGATAAAAACTAAAAGGGGAATAATATAATACTGAAACAAATACATGGTATTTAAACAATTGCGCTTTTTTTGTTTGATTAACAAAAGACAAATAGATAAACATGATCCTTTTTTGGGTTACAATTACCTTTGTAAGATCCCCTATAAACTTCAAAAAATCAAAGAAAACAATTCGTAAAAATAGAAGAATCTTTTGGAATCGCGGTATGGCATGAGGAAAAAAAGACTCAATAACAAAGGTTTCTTCAGTGCGCTCTAATTAAAATCTATTCAAAAACAAATTAACAAGATTTGTATTATTTTATTCTTTTTTCTATTCTAGTCCCAGATAAGGAAAGAGAGCGTAAAATAACAATTAAAAACTACTGCGTTATAGATCTTTCAAGTTTTTACGTTTTGATTTTACATTAACTGTTGGTTTTCCAGTAGTTGTATTAATTACCTTATCAAATATTATATTACTATTTAGAATCCCTTGACAGTTCTTTAAGATTTGTTTTGGATTCGTAATGAAATCTT